AATAATGAAAGAACATGCTCTTAAAATCCTGTATGCCAAGATTACAGCTGCCCTATCTTAATGTTGGGTGCGAAAGCTGAGAAGCAGAAACAAAAATGAATGTTAATTCAGCTGGAAGTACATGTTGTATACAACATAATTCCCATTTTCTTCTCCCTTTCTCTAGTCACTTAGTTTGTACCCAAGTTAGCAATTACAGGTGGAATATTATTGCTTGGGTCATGGTGGTAATGACTATCATACGTACTGGGTTGCCAATGCATTACAGCCATAAGTTCAGTGGGCCACCTGGAGAGGTGTATGCATTTGATTCAATTTTCATATCCATATGTTGCTTCATTACAAATCTTGGAAGAGCAAAAGCTACTTTAAAATGTTGCTCCCTTACATTTATTCACATCAGTGAGTGATTCATTTGCCCAAAGTGTATGAAGTTAAATGCGGTGGTCTCGCACCTGAAGTCCTAGCACAACGAGACCTAATAGTAAATAATTGCCTCAAACTTCAGAAACTCAAAATCTAGTAGGCCTGTTCTAATAGCACACCTTTTATAACAGTTTTATTACAGCGACGTCTACGTTGGCTCGGGCACGTCGTGAGAATGGCTGATGGTCGGATTCCAAAGGATCTCCTCTATGGAGAATTAGTGCAGGGAAAGCGCCCCAGAGGGAGACCACAACTGCGATACAAGGACATCTGCAAGCGAGATCTGAAGGCCTTAGGAATAGACCTCAACAGATGGGAAAACCTGACATCTGAGCGTTCAGCCTGGAGGCAGGCGGTGCATCACGGCCTCTCCCAATTTGAAGAGACCCTTGCCCAGCAGGCCGAGGAAGTCACAAAAGCAGCAAACCCAGGGAGCCGGACAGGGGACAGACTGGATTTGTCTTCAGTGTGGAAGGGACTGTCACTCTCGAATTGGCCTTCTCAGCCACACTAGGCGCTGTTCCAAGCCCTCCATACAGAGCACGCTACCATAGTCTTTCGAGACTGAAGGATGCCTAATTATTACAGTTAGCGCACTGATACTAAACAGAAGATCGTAAAAATGTCACACCATCCTTATAATGCAATGTGTCAGAATCAGGTGAAACTCCCTAGGTCTGATGCTTTAACAATCCAAAAACAATACCCAAATGCATGAAACTGATGTCAGGAATACAACCAGGCTGTGTTTTGTCAAATTGCAATTCGCAGCGGTCCCTCTAGATCCTGATGCAATCCTACAGATACAATCAGTCATGTCACTAGTGGCTTGATGCTTCCGTCAAACCTCTGTCTCCATTTATCTTGCCATCCCCGGTATACTTCACTTTCTCTGCACTCTCTATAAAGAAGACCTAGTTTGTGCCATAAGAAGACTTCATGGAGGCTTTATGTACCTTGGACATTTCTGTCTTACTGGAAGCATAGTGTATATATAGAGCTCTGTAAAGCCCACGTCGTGCTGTCTGGGGTTTTTTGAAAGCCACAATCCCAAAAGAAAAAGATGATTTTCAAGCATGGAGCAATTTAACTCCTCATTCAGTACTATTTCCCTATCCAGTTAAGGTTGGTGACTCCAGTGTCATTAGGATAAGGGAAGCTGTTTTGGGTTTTAGGGCCTGTTTTTCCACTGCCAGATTTGTTCTTTTTTTTGGTTTGGTTTGGTTTGGTTTGGTCTTTCTTTCTTTCTGCTAGGGAGGGGAGTTGGGGGCAGACAAGAGGGCAAGTGAATGAGAAGGGGGCAACTAGATGGGTGAAGAGACAGTTGGGCAGTAGAAGCAGCAAGTGAGGAGGGGTGACTAGGTGGGCAACCTTCTTCCTCCCACACACCCCTTGGCAGAAGACACTTTAAAAAGAAGCCATGGCAAAATCATTATTCTGGCCTATTGTTACCAGGCCCTTTGACAGTGTTCAAAATGGCCGACAGGTCTCTCATCCAAGAGAGGCAGCCACAGACTAGATACGGCCTTTCCCCCTCATTTTCTTCAGATTCTCTTTCAGGAGATGGTTGACTGCATTTTTTTTTAAATGAAGGTGATTTTTTTTCCAACACTGGCTTCTTTCTAGTTCATTAGAAATGAGTTTCAAGAACAGGGGGGGAAAAGGATTGGCACATGGTCCATTTGGCAGAATAAATGGCTGTGCCATTCATAATGTCATTGTGAATGATGAATTTGAAGGGTGCCTTTTCCTGATCAATAGCATGCTCGGTCATGGAACATAAGATGGTGAAAGTTATTCTGAAACAAGTTACTGTAATATGCCAGTTTTGTACTTCTCTATACATGGCTCTCACCATTTTCAACTGAACATCTCTTGTGCATCATCTGGTGCTTTTCTCTATTTTTATGTATACAGGAACTTTTCTTCAGACCACTGGCCAATGGCAGCTGCTGACTCCAGTTTCAATGGTGCTATGAATCCATTTCAGGTTTTAGTCCCCCTTTGTTCTATGAGCTAGCCGATGGTCAGATCATTGTCTAATTAAATGTAACCTCTCAGCGGCTTAATATCTGGCGGAATGCCTTCTCCCACCTAGATCTACCTATATCACTCGCTCTAGCTAGGAGGAGTGGCTGAGGGGCCTAATGTCGAGGGAGACCCAAAGAGAAAGAACAAGAAAGCAGGCCTTCTCGGTAGTGGTCCCTTGGCTCTGGAACAATCTCCCCTCAGAAATTTGTCTGGCCTCCTCAACTGGGTGTTTTTAAGAGCCAACGTAAGACCTGGCTCTTCAGACAGGCCTACCCTCCTGTTGATACCTAACTTATTTTGCCATCCTCAAGTGTATTAATATTGTTGTTTTACTTTATTTTAATATTGTTGTTAGCTGCCCAGAGTAGACTTTGGTCTAAATGGGCGGGATATAAATTAATTGATTGATTGATTATTTAAATAAATAAATAAATAAATGTGGAGGGAGAGCAAAGATTTTAAATACCCTAAATTCCCATATAGTTCTGGGACAATGCAATTTGTATTCACAATACATTTTCCATCCTGCCCAGGTTCCAGTTTTAATGTAAAAAAAAAAAATTAAGATGTGATACAGGCTGGACAAGATAAACCTATCCTTACATGACTCACTAGGTCAAGTTTAATTCAGGCCACTGGCTCCTATGCATGGAGCGTTAGTAAAGCCAATATACTATGCACCTGGGCCATCGCTCCTTGGAGACTTGGTTTTAAGAAGAAGCTGTTCATATGGAAACCCAGACAGGTAAAATTATCATACATGGCCAGCGTTGCTTTTCAGTCAAGCCTGCCAAACATTATTTTTGTCAGTCACTCCGATGGGAACGTCTAAAGAGGTCAGGGGTTCCAAGAAACTAGGTCATGTGTTTTCAGAACGAGCTGCTGAATTACACGGTTCCTATCCACAATTTTCCTGTTATTGACAGGGATGGATGAAGGGAGAGACTAAGTCTCTTGGGTCAGAAATGGCAGGAATAGGTCTGGTGGAAAGTTAACATCCTATGTTCAAAACTTTGCTCAAGCCTTTCTGAGGTTCTGGAGATGAGAGATAACCAGGCATAAGAAAGTGAAAAGCAAAACAGTTGCTTGGCTGGTTTACAGCCTGTCAGTTGCAATATGCACAAAGCACCAATGTGCCCCTCTGGCTGCCGATGAACACATCCCGCTTTGACAGTTAAAGGAACGGCCATACCAGCCACACCAGTGGCACCGAATGGAAAACGTCACCTCCAGAGTAGCCACTTTCTTTCAGCCTCGGTTCCCCGTCTGTCAAACGGAGGTGGCAGAGTTTGCCTTCCATGGATAGTCACGAATGTAAACAAGGTAAACATTGCCATCAGTCAAGGCTAAATGCACACGGCTCTAGCAGGAGGTGGAATTTTTAATAAAGTTCAACAAAAAAGAAATGAAGATTAATTCTCAGTGTCTTTAGAAACTTTTAGTCAATGTCTTCTTCCTATTTGGGAACTACAGCAGACCCATTGATTCTGTGGGATGCACATAAATGCTAACTTACCACTCAGTAGGTCTATTCTTAGTTGGGACTAACTATATATCTATATTTGATCAACATCTTTTCCTAAATTTGATGTTCACTTAATGTTTAAATCCACACGTGGAACTCGAGAGGCCAGGCTTTTTCACCCATCAAAGGCAGGCACGCATTGCACATAGATTGAAGGATTATACAAGCCTATGTCCAGTGTACATGGAGGTGCAGGGTTTGAGCAGCATGGTGTTTCATGTCCAATGTGGTGCTTCGTGTCCATGTTCCTCGTGTTTCAATGTATGTAGTTGCATCCAGGGTGAGTGCTATTAGAGAAAACCATCCTATGTAGGGATCTGAATGATATTCAAATCCAAATTTAAAACTACCAGAGGATCAGTTAGTTTTCAGAACAGTCTCAGCAAACAAACACAGGAAAACATAGTGCCAAATGCTTGACAATTCTTAAATGAACTGTTGTGGAATGAGGGTAGCTAGGAACCAAACCCTGAATAACTTTTGCATTGGTTTACTGAAATGGGCTCCCATAGCTCAAGGAATGTTCAAAATCACCATTACTGCTCGGAAACAAATTGTCAGCAAAGTCACCATAGAGACACAAGGTGCTGTGAGTTGTGGATGAGAAGGAGCTTGAACTGAATTTTTAGAGTGCTATGTCCATGGTGTTTCAACACAGCTGGTAGGAAAGCAAGACAGAATTACACTTGGGAAGCAGCCGCAAATCACATATTGACACTGTTGGTAGGGAAAGAAGCAGAAAAAATGAGAATAACTGAATTCTGAACAGGGCAGTGGAAATAACCTGCTTTCCATGATGAAACACTTCATTGTGGTACTCAGTGCTCTCCGCCCACTAATCCAATTTCTATCACTCTCATGCGACAAAACATTGCCCTTTAAAATAACCTGGAATTAGCATTTGAAAAAAGCTGTACGATGCATAAGTTAAAAGCAAACATCAAAGCTGGGCAATACCACCTTTCAGTGTCTATTTTGCAGTCTCCGAAAACTGGAGAAGAAAATGTACCCAACTTACTTCTTCCTGTTCCAAAAGTCCGATCAACTGAGAGCGTTGGGAACGGCACTGGTCGGAGCGTGAACTGAGGGTGTGGGTATCCACAGGTGGGTGATGGCAGGATTCCTGGGTACTGGGCACTTTCTAGCGTTGGCACTGGAATGGCACTAACTACAGCTAAAAAGAAGGAAAACAGAGAGAAAAATATCATGTTAATGCCTTGAATCGTTTTGGAAGATAACACCAGGAGATTTTTAGTGCCTGCAATTAATTAAGAGAAAAGGGAGGTGAGGAATATTATGGGTGAGGCTGCTTTTGAAGAGTGGTAGGAGACATGCTGTTTGATGGAGCCTTAATTGTAATCTGGAAGACTCCAACCACCACTGCTGGTTTAAAAGAAATGTCAGAATTATTCAAGCAAGCAAAAATCAACTGTTTAGAAAAGATAGAGACATGATGGATTAAATCACAAATGAAGTTGATGCTATTTATTACAAGAGCTGATCAATTAGTGTTTATTTCGACTTTAAAAATGGCTTTTAAATTAATAGCAAGGCATAATTTAATGGTGACAAGTAATTGGAAAATGCCCAGATGCTGTCAAATCAATGGGTGTTCAGGAAGACAAAATTAAAGCATGGAATGGATTTCCTTTTGAAAAAAAGGAAAATTAAAAAAAAAACAGCTATCATGTTTTATTTCTTTTCCTGATTTGCCTATATTGCTTTGTTAAAATAGGAGTAGCAGACACCAGATTGGCAAGGGGGCCTGGAGACGTGAAATCCGTTTTTAAAATTCTGTTCAATGAACAAGCATCAAAGTAAATGTGTTTATTTTTAATAGCTCTCCCTTAAGAGTTCCAAGGTCATCCTCATACTTTTACAGCAAAAACTATTATTACTTGGTCCTACAGCCAAAGTAATCAAAGCCAATTCTAACTAATAAATTGCTTCCAGTTGATGTCTACTGCCAAAGGAGGTGGAGCACGAAGAAAAAAGGAAAAAAAAGTCATACTTCTAGTTTATGCATTGAGTTCTCCATTTTCTCAGTGGTTTAGGTATCTGACTCTGGAGGCAGAGGCTATTACAACTCCCCACTGATTTCCCCTTGATAAGGGCTGGACTTAATGATCCAGAGGATCCCTTCCAGCTCTGCAGATCTAAAATTACTTGTGCTAATAGCTCTTTGGTAGGCTGCTAAACAGAACACAGAAGTCAGATTATACTAAATTTTATAAGGTGCTGGCATATGGATTTATTCATATATTGACACCCCATTTCTGGAATGAAACATTTTCGAACTTCAGAATATGTCACCAACAGTTTGAAACACGTCGTAAAGACAAAAACAGACAATTTCGGTCCCAGTAATATTTGTTTAGCCTAGGGATGGGTAGCTGTGACCCTCTAGATGTTATCGAACTTCAGAATATGTCACCAACAGTTTGAAACACGTCGTAAAGACAAAAACAGACAATTTCGGCCCCAGTAATATTTGTTTAGCCCAGTGGTTCTTAACCTTTGCTACTCAGATGCTTTTGAACTGCAACTCCCAGAAACCCCAGTCAGGACAGCTGGTGGTGAAGGCTTCTGGGAGTTGCAGTCCAAAACTCCTGAGTAACCCAAGGTTTAGCCTAGGGATGAGTAGCTGTGACCCTCTAGATGTTACTGAATTACAGCTCCCATTCTCTCTGCCTGTTAGCTAATCCTGGCCAGGTTTGATGGGAACTGATAATTTGAAGACCACATTTTCCCCTACTTTCAATTTAGCTACGAATAAAACCCGAAAGCATGCAAATGCGAGTAGATAAATAGGGACCACCTCGGTGGGAAGGTAACAGCGTTCCGTGTCTAAGTCGCACTGGCCATGTGACCATGGAAGATTGTCTTCGGACAAAACGCTGGCTCTATGGCTTGGAAATGGGGATGAGCACTGCCCCCTAGAGTCGAACACGACTGGACAAAAATTGTCAAGGGGAACCTTTACCTTTACCTAAAACTAGCAGGCAAAATAAAAAAGAAAACTCTTACCTAGATTTTCTAAGGGAGTGGAAGACCTAGCCCGTTGGGTCTCCCATAGAAAGGACTCTGGGGAACTAGTGCTACCATGGGAAAATACACCAAACCAAGCCCCCCTCTGTTTAGCACTGGTTAGGTCTCATCTACAGTATTGCATCCAGCTGTGGGCCCCACTCTTTAAGAAAACTGGAACAAGTTCAGAGGAGTGTAACAAGGAAGATGAGGGGACTGGAAACCAAACCTTATGAGGAAAGACTGAAAGAACTGGGCATGTTTAGCCTTGAGAAAAGAAAACTAAGGAGAGATTATATGATAGCAATTTTCAAATACTTGAAAGGTTTTCATACAGAGGAGGGGCAGGATCTGCTCTTGATCATTCCAGAGTGCAGGACATGTAATAATGGGCTCAAGCTACAGAAAGCCACATTTAGGCCAAATATCAGGAAAATCTTCATAACTGGTAGAGCAGAACAACAATACAACTAATGACCTCAGGAGGCGGTGAGGGTTCCAACACTGGAGGCATTCAAGAGAAAATAGGACAACCACATGTTAAATCTTCTTTGATTTGGATTCCCGCATTGAGCAGGGGGTTAGGCTTTATGGCCTTACAGCACCCTTCCAACTGAATTATTCTATGATTCTACGATTCTGAGTTGTCATATGATAGTGTGACAGGCTGCTGTTCAAAGAGAGAAGGAAGACCGAGCATCAAAACTGAATTGCTTAAAAGCAATTAACTAACTAACGCACACGCACACGCACACGTACACAAACACAACACACGCACACGCACACGCACACGCACACGCACATTTCTTCTAGGGCTGGACTGGGAGGCAGAGAAACTCAGTTTCTTTCATCATACCCCAAGCCTCGTAGACACACATACACACACACACACACACATTTCTTCTAGGGCTGGACTGAGAGGCAGAGAAACTCAATTTCTTTCATCATACCCCAAGCCTGTCCTGCTTCAGAGTAGGAGAATGTGTAACTCAGAACAAAGCAAAACTGAAATCTAAAAGATGAACTAGCCAACTAGTTTAATTTTCTTGCATTAAATACAGATTAATAGTACCTTTATGTTCCTTTATCTGTTTTTTAAACTTTATTTTTGCATATAGGCATTCATATTTGCATTAAAATTATCCCGCTAGATATGAAATTTGGAACAGCCTTTTGGTCATTAGAGATGCGAACAGAGACTGAAAGCCATTTCATTCAGTTTGGCTGTCTCCACAAGAGCAGCATTTTCACTCTTCCTGCAACTTATTGCAAGGAGAAATGCCCCCCAACATTGGCAGGGCTCACAGGACGCTGTGTAAATTATGCATAAACAACCGTGCAAAATTAGAGGAATCCTGCAAAACATAGGAAGTAAATGTTTCCATGTGGGCCAAAATAACAAAGATTTGGAACTCGATATGAAAGAATTATGTGAAAGAAACACAGGAGCAGGGGATGGGGAGAGAAGGTTTGACTCATCATCATCATCTTAGAACTGCAGAGGTTGAAGGGATTCTATGGATCATCAAATCCAGTTTCAGTCAAGGAGACACTGTGGGAAATCAAACTCCCAACCTCTGAGTCCACAGCCAGATACCTAAGCCACTGAGCCATCCAGCAATTCAAAGCACGAAACCATCCAGCAGTTCTGAACCACAACTGAGACTTGTCTGACCTACCATAGCTCACCTTGAGTTCTAATGTTCTTATGAGACAAATTTACCCATCTTGGAGGCCTTCATTATGCACGAGGAAATTCCACAGGAGTATTTTTACTCCAGCCTGTGATCTTCCTGGTAGTAAGTCCAATAGTGGGATCTTCCAAGTATGGGACAGCTATCACGTAAAACAAGATTTGGTCCAGCTGTATTCACGGATATTCTGTTAATCTGAAAGGCACCAGGACTAGACCCTTCAAGTGTGCTAGCCTGGCAAACTTTACCTCTCATTCTGAACGGCATGAGCTAGCAGATCTTTGGAGGTGGTAGGAAATCCTTACAACCACTTTCATAGTTAGTCCAAAGCAAAACATATCTTTTGTGGTATTTCTTTTTTCTTTCTTTTTTAATATTTACTTATTGTTTTCATACTTATTATACTTATATATTATACGATTACACTTATATATTATATATTATTATACTTTCATAACAATATTCTTATTGTTTTTAGCTCTAAATATTGTCTTTCAGGGATGAAGCTCCCTTGGGTCCTTTTTAAGGAAAAAGGCAGAGTATGTATATGTGTGTGTGTGTGTGTGTGTGTGTGTGTGTGTGTGTGTGTGTGTGTGTGTGTGTGTGTGTGTGTGTGTGTGTGTGTGTGTGTGGGTGTGTGTGTGT